TGCAGTTAAATGGCTTTTTTGGGAAAACATTTTATTTTTATAATTTGATTTCTCAAAGTGCAACTTTACCTGTGTATTGACTTGTTTCTCTATTTGTCAATCTACATTTTTTATCTTACTATTTTTCAGCGCTGAATATCTTTCAAGGTTTTAGTTTGAACTTTGCGAGAACTTTGGGAAGCGCAGTTGACAAGTTGTGAGAATGGTTTAAGGGTTAATTCACACGGGCAGTTTATTTTTGGAAAATAAACTAAAGAAACTGTTTGGGGCTGCGTCGGTGGGGGTAACGAAATAATTTGGATGTATCAACAAAGTTAAAATGGTAAATTGGCCACCGTAACGATTACAAAAGCTCCGACGAAGGGCTGACGCTCGAAACGTTAGCTTTTGTAATCGTTACGGTGACCAATTTACCATTTCAACTTTGTTGATACACCCAAATTATTTTTGGAAAGCAAAGCTTGAGATCGTTTCGAGTCAATAGGGCTTTCCAGCAAAACCGAAGGTGTAGTTTCTCGCATTTTCTAGACGTGGTCAAAACTGGACTGTTCTTTACTTTTTTTTCCCGTAAAAGTGAACTGCTAACTATGAAAATCTTGAGTTAAATATACCATATGAACAGCCCAGGCGGCGTGAATTTTTTGATAATTATTATTTTTATTTCTTAAAATTATTTTTCTAGTTTATGTATTTCATTATTCTTTTAGTTTTTTTTTTTTTTTTTAGACTCCGCGTTTTCGGAACAGCCGAAAATTGGGGCGGTCATTTTTTGATCGGTAGACCGACTTCACCCGCAGTGACTCTGGTTGAGCATGGTCTTCTCTTAATTTTCTCTGTGACTCTAGCGCAACATTTTCTAATCTATTTAAAACATCCTCTTTATGAAATAAAGTTTTGTGGACGTGACGTATAAGAAGTGTTACTGAACTGAAATAGTAATTTCGATTTGATCTCACTTTGGACTGAATGAAATATTTATCAATGAAAGATGCAATGATCATCACAATGAAAACCTTCAACAACCCTTTAATTTGAAAATGAAGCACCTTTACAAAACAAGATGAAAAAATTAAACAGATTTTCATGACAAGATGTTTAACAGGCATGCATGGTAAAAGTTTTTTGCTTGTTATGCTTAAAAGTACAAAACTTATGAAAACATTCATAACTGCATTAGGCCCTTTCTATAACTACAAAACAACTAAGAAAACTGCGTCTTTTCATCCTAGTAGAGCAAAGCCATCAAAGTGCATACGATGAG